ATACTTTAATGTTTATTCTGTTTCAGAGACATAAATAAATATACAACTAGTCATAATAACATTATACTGCAATCAAATAGTAAATCTGAACACCAATTATAGAGATAGTAGCTTGTGTAAGCGTAGTGGTAGTCGTAGACCTGTATTAGATATTGGTAGTCGTACACCTGTATTAGCTATTTACCAATATTTATCCCTCTTACACCTGTAATCTATCTAACGTATTGATTTTCCCCGCACGAGCATATTAACCAATCACATTCGATCAAGTGATATCCGCCATACTTTGAAAATGTAAACAAGCCATTTTTGTGCTGAAACATTAAATATCCATTTTGTAGTTATATATAAATATATCTACAGGTAATCATGTGTATTTGAAACTATAATATGTAATGTTTGTCGTGCATTGCTTTGATATTATGAATATGTATTGCTAATCCCCTATTTTGACATTGTATTTATATTGTTTTGTTTATGTCATGTATTACAGGAGCGTATCTTTCCATGTTTCCATGACAATATTAAACCCATTGAAAATCTGTCGACCCATGTTGTCATTATATCCCCGAATGAGTGGCCCGGCGACACGAGCATCACATTATTATTATTATTATAGTTATAGTTTCCTCCTGATGGGCGGGCGGCGTCCAAGTTTTGTCCAGAGCATATTTCCTACACATATGCAGGGATTCTAATAAAACTCAAATGTTCACCACTTTATATGAAGCAGTGTCATGCGCCTTAACTACTAGGACTTCAGGTCAAAAGGCAAGGTCACATTTAGAGATCATTGAAAACGCTTGTCCGAAGCAAAACTTCTACATGCATAGAGGGATTTCAATATAACTCTATTTATTTGTTTTCTATGAATTTCTTGTCATTTACAAATTATTCAATCATTTATTTGTTTTTTATGAATTCCTGATCAGATACAAATTATTTATCATTTTAGTGATAAGCTTGTCCGTGCTCTGCCTTGTGCCCTGTCCCGTTTTTTTGTTTGGGTCCGTCTGGGCTCCTTGTCACTGGTTCTTGTTGCTGGGTCATATTGGGGTTGCTTTCATTAAACGCCGCCTTTTCTTGTTGATCTTGTTTATCAAATATGTGGCACAAATGTTCACAGACACTTGGGGTGCGGAGCTCAAAACACATTTGAAATCCGAATGAAATGTAAATTTGTCAATTGCACGTGTACTGATCATATATATCAAAATACTTAATACAAGCCGTTTTAACAGTAAATCACATTTCAACCTCTATAATAATACACAAGATAAAAATATTCGCTGGAAAAAATCCGCATACCTACCGTCAGATTCACCATGTATTTTATTTCCATTTCCAGTATTTTTACAAAATTATTTTGTCCATCGACACAGAAGATATCATTCGCCACGATTATGGTCAATTTTAAACTTCAACATTAATATATACAACGCAACAGCCGAAAAGCTCACCAAGATTATCGCAGTTTTACTCCATTTACAAATTCGTTCTACAAATTCAAATTGGCTCCCCAGCTTTGCCGTATTCAAATGCGCCGCGATTTGAAGATGGGAAACAACATATTACCGAATGGCTCCGACAAGAGCCGACTGGTTCCAATCTTCAAAGCGCGGTCATTGAAAAGTGCTTGTTCGGAGCCAAACTTCAATCATCTGGGAATTTTAATAACTTGGCATAAATGTTCACCATTGTGAGGCTTATCGCGCACATAAACTAGGTCCCTGCCAAAGCCAATGTCACATAGAGAGGTCAAAGTTTGTGCATAGGACAATTTTGTCATCATTTATTGATGGATTGTAACACAAATGATAATTATTATAAGTACAAGTGTGACATATGTAATTAAGGTTAATATTTGCAAGGTCAAGTTCACTAGATGATAAAATTAACAGATAATTTTCTGGATATTTCCCTGACCATATCTCCTATACGCATATCTAAAACGACATAATCTCTGTCAAAAGCTTTCGTGAAGTGCGAATTTTGCGGCAATGTTGCCTTTGTTTCAGAATAAAACCATTGGTTAATACGTGGAATAGACTTGTTATCCTCAGCTGAGAAGTTTTACTATGGGTCATGATTTGCGAGTCTTATGAACTACATCATGATATCGGCAAGTCATTTTAAAACCGTGAACGGAACTTGCATATCTCCTGGTCCTTGCAAGTCTCAGGCGACACCGTCACTAATTTTAGCATAATCCATGCACATTTAAGAAGATATAAGAAAAGAGTATCATTATGCTTAAAGATCGTGTATCACACTTTTTTTATGGTTTTAAATCATAAATATGATGCTCGAATTAAGATTTATTAATATTGTAGGTTCTAAAATGCATTATTTATAAAGATATTACCGGTTTAAACATTTCATGTAACAAAAGCCACCGCCGGGCGGGGGCAACGCTCGACTTTTTACTTTTTCTAAACGCAAACATAGAAAGGTTTGAACATATCTTAACGTTTCCTTTTTATAAATTTAGTTGGTCTGTCTTGTCACATTAGTTTTGTTTATATATTTTGTATATATTTATTAATAGAAACATTACGCAATTTCTAAAAATAGCAACATTACGCAATTTCTAAAAATAGCAACATGACGCAATTTCTAAAAATAGAAACAATGACGCAATTTCTAAAAATAGAAACAATGACGCAATTTCTAAAAACAGAAACAATGACGCAATTTCTATAAATAGCAACAATGACGCAATTTCTAAAAATAGAAACAATGACGCAATTTCTAAAAATAGAAACAATGACGCAATTTCTAAAAATAGCAACAATGACGCAATTTCTAAAAATAGCAACAATGACGCAATTTCTAAAAATAGAAAAAATGAAGCAATTTTTAAAAAAAGCAACAATGACGCAATTTCTAAAAATAGCAACAATGACGCAATTTCTAAAAAAAGAAACAATGACGCAATTTCTAAAAATAGAAACAATGACGCAATTTCTAAAAATAGAAACAATGACGCAATTTCTATAAATAGCAACAATGACGCAATTTCTAAAAATAGAAACAATGACGCAATTTCTATAAATAGCACCAATGACGCAATTCCTAAAAATAGAAACAATGACGCAATTTCTATAAATAGCACCAATGACGCAATTCCTAAAAATAGAAACAATGACGCAATTTCTATAAATAGCAACAATGACGCAATTTCTATAAATAGAAACAATGACGCAATCCTAAAAATAGCAACAATGACGCAATTTCTAAAAATAGAAACAATGACGCAACTTCTATAAATAGCAACAATGACGCAATTTCTAAAAATAGAAACAATGACGCAATTCTATAAATAGAAACAATGACACAATTCTTGTTGTTGTTGTAAATATATATATATATATATACACACACACACACACACCAATAAATATATAATTATTGTCATTTAATGCACACATCTGAGAAAATTCAGTAATTTAACCTTCAAGGTCAAGGTCATTAAAGAGCCCAAGCAAATTTGGGTTTGATAAACAACGAGGTCTGGTCCTTAAGAATGTTCTGTTATAATATGAAGTTGATCCCTTCAATAATAGCATAGTTACAGTCAGTTACTGCCAAAACAATGAAAATTTCAATAATTTGACCTTCAAAGACAATGTCATTATTGAGTGAAGGTCAAGGTCTTTCGGTATATTTTTAACAGTATATTTGAAGATTATTATGTTCAAGTTTCAAGACAATCCATTCAAAAATAACAAAGTTACAGCCAATAATAGCCAAAAAAATGAAAATTTCAATAATTTGACCTTCAAAGTCAAGGTCATTTATGAGTGAAGGTCAAGGTCTGTCTAGTTATTTTTAAGGGATATCCCGGAAGATAAGTATGTTCAAGTTTGAAGACAATCCATTCAAAAATAACAAAGTTACAGCCAACAATAGCCAAAAATATAAAAAATTTAATATTTGACCTTCAAAGTCAAGGTCATTTATGAGTGAAGGTCAAGGTCTGGCGGGAAATTTTTAAGGGATATCCTTGAAGATTATTATGTTCAAGTTTGAAGACAATCCATTCAAAAATAACAAAGTTACAGCCAATAACAGCATGAACAAGCAAAATTGGACTTTTAACCTTGAAGGTCAAGGTCATTTATGGATGAAGGTCAAGGTTAGTGTGGTCTACTGAAAGGTCTTGTCCCAAGGGTTGTTGTGGCCAAGTATGAAGACAATACACCAAGAAATAAAAAAGTTATGATCCAGGTACAAGTTTGCGGACGGCAACGGCAACGCCGACCTGACTATAACAATACCTCTACTTTTTTTTTTTTTCCAAAAAAAAAGTCGAGCTAAAAAGGACGGAAATTAGAAATTTATTTTCCATAAAGTTTAAGTCAGAAATGAAAGCATATATTTTATTGATTAGTTGCAGTATATATTTTACATAATTATTATTCAATGTTTGAAAAATGTTCTATTTGCATAATTATGTACATATATATAATTCCACTTAGTGCGGTTAACCACTTTGATCACAACATACGGGATCTTAAAATAATAATGAGTAGAGCTTTGCTGGATCAAATTACATTACCGGCTATCCGATAATTATTCAATTGAGTGAATGTATAGGTAAGTAAAATGTTCTCACAAAATATTGCAAATCAATTGATTTGCTTGTAACTTTGTAACATTACAGTATAAAAATGGCAACGCCATCAAAAGCTGGTGTTAAACGAAAGGCGATTTCTTTAGATACAATATTTGAATTATTAATGAAATAGATGATAAAAAAAATTATCAAAAACCCAAATTGCAGAAAAATATGGATTAAAGAAAAGCACGCTCAGCACAACTCTCAAAACGCTTGACTCTATAAAGTCGGCATATGAGTCGGATTGTCTAGCTCCCGCTTGCAAGAAAATGCGATTTGGTAAAAATTGCGTTGCTGAAATGGGTTCGAGGAGCGCGAAGTTCAAATATCCTACTTAGTTGGGTAAACTTTAAGGTTTAAAGCCAACGAACTTTCCAAAATGCTGGGATATGATGATTTCACTGCTCTTTGTGGGTTAATTGAACGTTTAAAGAGAAGACACGATATTATCAGCAAATCTGTTTGTTGTGAATTTGCTGCAGTAGATCTTAGCATTATGGAGAAATTTAAGACCGAGACATTTCCTCAGATACTTAAAGATTATGTGCCAAAAGATATTTTTTACGCTGACGAAACGGGACTTTTCTATAAACTTCTAACACTTCAGTTAAAGGGAGAGAAATGCCACGGTGGTGAAAAGGGAAAGGAACGCATAACTGTATTGGCTTGTGCGAACATGGATGGCTCAGAAAAACTAAGACTTTTGGTGATCAGTAAATTCAAGAACCCCCGTTGTTTTAAAGGGGTTAAGTCATTGCCTGTGATTAACAAGATAAATAAACGTCCGTGGATGACATCCAAGATATTCATAACTTAGGTCAAGTCAGTGGACCAACTTATGTTTAAACGCAAAAGAAGAAATCCTTCTTTTCATCGACAATTGCCCAGCGCATCCACAAATTGATGACTTGAAGTCTGTCAGACTTGAATTCTTTCCACCAAATACGACCTCTATCTTACAGCCGATGGATCAAGGAGTAATTCGATGTCTTAAACAGTTGTTTAGACGTGACATAATTACCTGATTTTCTGTATGCAATGTTAACCAAACAGTTACAAACAAGTAGCAAAATAATACAAGTGTTTGAAAGCTTATAATGCAAACCCAAGCTTAATTTAATTATTTAATATTCCAGATGCTACGAAAAGAGGTAAGATGTTCAGATTCGGTGTGGAATTGATTTTCTAAGTTCTGCCTGGGACAGACTTTCGGCTACAACAATTGCCAATTGTTTCAAAAGAGCTGGTATCATTGAACAAAATGACCTAGATGATGACATACCATTAGCTCAGCTAATTGAAAATTTAAACGATGACCTACCCCTCTCAGAAAACCGTGTTTCATGGATTTAGTTACGAAAAAACATTCCCTCGTCTGAAAATGTTATGGCAGATGATTTTGTAAATTTTAATAATTCACTTGAAACAAGATTAAATCCGTCTGAAACTGATATTGTGAATCAAATGAGAATGAACATTTCAAAAGATCATTCGTCCAGCGATGACAGCGACGTACAAGAATTTCAGCCAGTGTATGTCTGTGACATACTGTCCGAAATTTTTTGGGAGATTACGAACCGAATAAAACACTGTACAAGTGTTGCTCAGAGCTTGAGGAATTTGGTTATGAACCTTTAAATGAGAATAGAAAACAATCCAAAATAACTGATTTATTTCACATGTAACTTTTATCACGGATCTTAATTGTAAAATAAATCAGTGCTTTATAGACAGTGCATATATAGATGCGTTCATGTAGTTAAACATTTTGTTTGGATTAAATACATGTATAAATTATGCATATAAAATATGAAACTTGTCTACAATAAATCAAAAACATGTGCATAATATATTGTTTAATAAAATGTCACGCATCAAATTACCACTGCCGTAATATAGCGATTTCATTGGTGACAGGTATGGCTTTTGCCGGCCCACACAAATCAAGGAAAGTTGTTGTTACTTCGCTTTAAGCGTACTTCGGATATAACGAACAATATTTTAATGTCCCACAAGTTCGTTATAAGCAGAATCGACTGTATAGCATTTTGTTGAATCTTACTTTTATAGAACAATTTCTTTAACAAGTAATTTGTTTCGAAAATCTCCATTGGTAACTAACATATCGTCATGCAATTCACACATGTTGTTTGTTTGTTTGTTTATTTGTTTGCTTGCTATAACTAGTTCCTATGAAGAAATTTAATTGTCATAACTCGAGATATGTCTAAATAACCTGCTCGTCTTGACTGACCAGTTATTACCAGTTTTTTAGTAAGTGACCATTATGAATCAGCAGTGAAAGACAAATCATGATTAGACTCATCGTCCAAACAAACAATAAGAAGAAGACATTACGCCTCGCCCGAGGATCGAATCAACGACACCTGAATAACAAATTCCATGATTTAGCGTTGATATTGGTGTGTTACAGGATGATTTAATTCAATTTTATTTACTAGAAAATCGAAAGAAAGAATCCCTTCAACACACCGAAAACATCAAAATGTTGCAGATTCGATTCCCGCAATCATAAAAAGAATATGATACAAAAAGATCAACAAAGATAGGCGTGCGGCGTTCAACGAACGCAACACCCATGCAACCCAGCAACGAGAATCAGTAGCATGAAGCCAAGGAGGACCCAAAACAGGACAGGGGGCAAGGCAAGGCAGAGCACGGACAGGCAACTATAATGATACATACACGGAAATACTAACCGACAAAGGAATCAAAGAAAAGAAATAAATGATTGATAAATAAGCACGCAACTTAATCAGTACATAAAAACAAAGACATACATGTGAGTAATACAGAGTTTGTTTGTTTGTTTGTTTGGATTTTACGGCACGTCAACACATAAATGGCCATATCGTGCCGAATGCTAAAATAGGCTTAAACTATTATGTAAAACGTTGTAAATAAAAATAAAAAAAAGAGCCAATCAGATCTTTGAATACAAGTTTATCTCTTTCAAATAATCGATGATGTTTTTTGATGGAATTGTATTAAAGAGTTCTTTGAGTGAGTTTACATTATAAAATCTGTTACGGGCCTGTGAAAAATCATGACATTCCAGAAGAAAATGCTTGACAGTAAAATTTTCATTACAGCCTACACAGAAAGGGGCATTGTCATTCGTGAGGAGATAAGAATGGGTAACTTTAGTGTGTCCAATTCGGCATCGAAGAAGAACTGTTTGATCATGGCGGTTTGACAAAGACAGAGATGGTGACACATCAAGAGATGGGTTTATATCATGAAGTTTATTAAAGACGGCATTGTCCCAATTTGCTTTCCATTCAGATGAAGCGAGTTTATTTATAGCCGTTCAAAAATCACAAGCAGGTAACAATAAGTCAGTTTTTTGAAAATTTAAAGCTTGTTTAGCTAAAGCATCTCCTTTTTCATTTCCTCGTATACCTACATGACTTGGAATCCAATATAATTTAACATATTTTATTTTAAGTATATCATGAAATCGCAAAAGAAGTTTCTTTATCATGATATTGTCAGATTTTTTATTTTTAATGGATATTAAAACAGAAAGCGAGTCAGAAAATATCACAAATTTATCATTGGTATGCTGTTCTATGTATGACAATGCTAAATCTATAGCTTTTGCTTCAGCAGTAAAAATTGATGCATTATCTGGTAACCTCATACTAAATGTAAAATCATTTTCATACACAGCCGCACCTCCAGAGAGGCGCCGCCTTGGAACGGTCTGCATTATAAGTACTGCTAGGGAGTTCAAAGCAGTTAATGGTGCAACAAACTTCACTCCTAGCCCAACCATGTTCCTGTAAACGAGACTAAACGAGGCAGTGTAAGTAAAACCATAATCAATACCAGAAGAAGAATGTATTTATATGTACTCCATATTTTACGTTTTCTTTTCTTTTAATTCTTTTTTGCCCACAATAACCTGCTCCATTGTAAGTTATTACACATTCTAAACACTCTAAATCTCATCATTGAAGGGTCAAACTTTAATTTAGATCATTGGTGTTCAAATATATAGGGGGTTCATGTCATTTTGTAGGTATAAATATAACATTGATATATTGTGTGATTCCTACAGATATTACAATAAGCTGGAAAATAAAAAAAAAACATCAAAATCTATCAAAGCACTAAAAAGTTACAGTTGTTGGAAGTTCGAAAATTTTGTATTAATCTGAAATATGTTCCCTATTATATTCTAATAAAGGAAATGGCACCGAAATTACCATTATTTTTTTTTGGATTATTATCAAATTATTTGTTTGTTAGGTTTCAAACTTTTATCGTTATGTGTGTTTTTTCTAGTTATGACATGATTGATAAAAAAAACACAATTTAATAAAAAAAAATTTCATCAAAAAACTTCAGTTTGTTTCCATTGCGACGACAATGCTAAGAAAAAGCTTAACAGGTTTTAACGATATATTCTTTGTGCTAAAAGATCATACATACAAGAATAAAAGTGCTTTGATATGTATTTCTATACACAAGTATAAATATTATTTATTTAAATAATCAATATTATACATGGAAAAATTGACAGTATTTGTTGCCATGGCAACCAATTTAATCATAATCAAAAAATGATTTTTTTTAGTTTAAGGCATTTTTACACAAATTTTTTTAACAGTGTAAATTATTTTTTCATAGAAATCCTTCTACTTATTATTTCATTTTAACACCCTTGTGCCTATCTTTTTTTTAGCATATTTTTATTTCATTTCTTTTTTTATTGTATTCTTTTTTTTTAATTTTTTTTTCTGGCTATTTATTTTTCTAACAGGTACATCTGATTATCATTACATTTTTTTTTAAATATTTATAATATACACATGAAGAAATCACTTATGAACTATCTGTCACTATGGTAACACATTTCATATATTTGAAAATCTCATTATTGTCACTGTTTACATAATCTTACGAATCGCCCTTGTCTATATCTTCTAACAGTGGGAAAAACCACTCATCATCATCCTCATCATATTGATAAAATACTCTTTTTTTATATGCCCGAAAGAATTTCGGGCATATTATGTTATACCCCCCTGGCGTCCGTCCGTCTGTCCGTCCGTAAGCAATTTGGTTTCCGGAGCATAATTTAAGTTCCATTTGGCCCACAGTATTCAAACATCATAGGATGATTGACTATATTGGGTAGGAGACCCCTATTGATTTTGGGGTTACAAGGTCAAAGGTCAAGGTCACTATTACCTTAAAACTGAAAATGGTTTCCAGAGCATAATTTAAATTCCATTTGGCCCACAGTCTTCAAACTTCATAGGATGACTGTTCATATTGGGTAGAAGACCCCTATTGATTTTGGGGTCCGAGGTCAAAGGTCAAGGTCACTATTACCTTAAAACTGAAAATGGTTTCCGGAGCATAACTTAAATTCCTTATTTTCATTCTCTTTCTCTTTTATTATGTTTTGTTTCATTTCAATTTGTTCATCTCTCCTTTTGATTTTCTTATTTAAATTTCGTGTAAATTGTGCCTGCAATTTCAACTAACTTTGATGTAATCTTCAGCAGCTTTATCAAACTCATTTGCTAATTCATCATAACGTCTTTCCCATTCTTCAACTTCTTTATCTAATTTGTAACTTTCTTGCTTATACTTACATACATCACTGTATTTTTTATTTGTTACTTCAAGCAGATTCATTATCATGTTTACTTGCCTTTCAGACTGATTAACTTGCCTCTCTAAGTTCTCATTATCATCAATTACTTCTTCAATTTCTCGCTTAAGCTCTTTATTTTCCTTTAGTACTGTTTTAGTTGCCTGTGCTAAATTCTCAAGAGCACTTCTGGCTTCATTGGAAATATCAAGGCTGCTAAGCACAGTCTTTGGTATCTCAAACTTGGACAATAATAATGAATTTAGTTCTACAGACCTGTTGTTTTTCTTCAATTTCTTACATTTTTCATTAAGTCTATGAATTTTTGTCTTGATTTGAGTGACATTGCTCCAATTACATTCAGGGTATCTTGCACAAAGTTCTTTTACACATTCTGCAGCAGATTTACACCTCCAGATTTGAAGCACCTCTTCATTTCCTGGTACATCTGAAAGAAGTAAAATATCCTAATAGTTCACCATTTTTATTATTTTGGTTTCATTTTATGATTAATTCCGAGATATATTTGAACATGACAAACAGCAGAATATTTATAATTGGGATATTGTTTTATATAAATGAATATTTCAATTATTTAATTGTCAAAAATTACAAGCCAAATTCTTATAACCCTGTTCCTTATTCTAATTAAAAGTTTATCAAATGATGACTTTCATGTATTGTTTTTTATTGGCATGAAAAATCTGACCAGCAGATTTTCCAAACATGACCATGTTGTCATGATAATTGATTTCAATTATTTTTTTCTATGAAAATAATATATAAGATATCACCATCCATGTTGTGTATGAACTATATAGTTTGAGACTGCTTTATATACAGTCCCTTATATAGAGTTTAACTGCAGTAAAACATGGCTGTCCAGCAGCATCACGATGTCCAGCATTGGATAAATATTTCCCATTTGATTTTGCTGTCCAGCAGCTAGAAACAAATACCCCTGAAAATATAAAGGAAGGGACCACAAAACATCTTGCTCAAATGCAAACATTTTGCTCAAATTTTTATAAATCTTACAAGAACAAATTATAGTTAAAATCCATGAAATTATTAAGTTCTGCTTAAATTTTAGAAATGTAAATAAAAAACAAGAGCACCGCTAGGCGGAGCATTATATGCCCGAAAGTGTTTTTTTTATATTAAGGATGAAGCATTTGCAAGACATAACATAAATTAAATAAAGTATTACCTCTTTCCAATAGCAATCCTCCTATAAAGTTTGAATATTGTGGGCCAAATAGAAATTAAGTTATGCTCCGGAAACTGTTTTCAGTTTTAAAGTAATAGTGACCTTGACCTTTAACCTTGTGACCCCAAAATCAATAGGGATATTCTACCCAATATGGACAATCATCCTATGAAGTTTGAATATTGTGGGCCAAATAGACCTTAATTTATGCTCCGGAAACTGTTCTCAGTTTTAAAATAATAGTGACCTTGACCTTTGACCGTGTGACCACAAAATCAATAAGGGCCTCCTTCCCAATATGGACAATCATCCTATGAAGTTTGAATATTGTGGGCCAAATGGAACTTAAGTTATGCTCCGGAAACTGTTTTCAGTTTTTAGGTAAAAGTGACTTTGACCTTTGACCTTGTGACCCCAAAATCAAAATGGGTCTCCTACCCAATATGGACATTCAGCCTATGAAGTTTGAACACTGTGGGCCACATGAAACTTAAGTTATGCTCTGGGAAATGTTTTCAGTTTTAAGGTAATAGTGACCTTGACCTTTGACCTTGTGACCCCAAAATCAATAGGAGTCTTCTACCCAATATGGACAATCATCTTATGAAGTTTGAAAACATGGGGGCCAAATGGAACTTAAGTTATGCTCCGGAAACTGTTTTCAGTTTTAAGGTAATATTGACCTTGACCTTTCACCTTGTGACCCCAAAATCAATAGGAGTCTTCTACCCAATATGGACAATCATCTTATGAAGTTTGAAAACATGGGGGCCAAATGGAACTTAAGTTATCCTCCGGAAACTGTTTTCAGTTTAAAGGTGATAGTGACCTTGACCTTTGACCTTGTGACCCAAAAATCAATAGGGGTCTTCTACCCAATATGGACAATCATCCTATGAAGTTTGAATGTTGTGGTCCACATGAAACTTAAGTTATGCTCCGGAAACTGTTTTCAGTTATAAGGTGATAGTGACCTTGACCTTTGACCTTGTGACCCCAAAATCAATAGGGGTCTTCTACCCAATATGGGCAATCATCCTATGAAGTTTGAATGTTATGGGCCAAATGGAACTTAAGTAATGCTCCGGAAACCAAATTGCTAACAGACGGACGGACAGACGGACGGACGGATAGACAGACGGACGGACGGACGCCAGGGGGTATAACATAATATGCTCGAAATTCTTTCGGGCATATAAAAATGTAGAAATGGATCTAAGATTCACATTGACAGTTTTTTTTTTTTTTGTATATATTTATTTATTTATTTATTTTCATACTATTAATCAAATTGTTTATAAAAACACATATATAAAAAACTCTTACCTAAATCGTTGGATGCCATGTTAAATTACACAGTAAATACGGTATAAGTGGTTTTTTTTGAGGGCTCCAAATTCTGCGGGTTTTTTTTTCTCAAATGTTTGCATGTTTTTATTTCTGCGGATTTTATTTCTGCGGCACATTCTTTGGACAAAACGTGATTTAATTTCTGCGACTCTCCTTATATAAATCTAAGTAACATTACTCTATTTAATTTTCATGTACACATTCGCATTTGTTCATCGTCGTCACCACAAAACTGTACAGTAAGTACAAACAATTATATTGTTTGCTTGCAAACAAATATAATGCGCAACAAAAGAAAGGTATGCATCTTTTATCAGCGTGAAATGACGTGTGAAAAATAAACCCCCGGTAGTATCTTTAATTTAATACCGTAAATGGTTTGAATGATTTAGTGATAAACAAACCTTTAGCGTATAAACGCTTTAAATTATATGCTGTTTAAATATCTTTATTCTTAAGTTAAAATAATTAACAATAAGTACATCCTTACAAACACAGAATACATACTTAGCAACAACAACAACAACAACACATCTTTTATTCACTCAAACATGCATACAACATGTAATATGAGGATTATGTCAAAATATTTAACGAGGCATTTATACAAATTGAGATCA